ATCCCATCACTCTTTCCTATTAATCTATAATCCACATCTTGTTTGCTACACTTCTCATATAAAACCTATGTTCTTCTAGTCTCCTAGATGTATATTTGTCCTATACCTCAATTAAAACAGAAAACTCACTGGAGTCAGGTATAATTCTTACTAACTTTATATCCATTCAAACACCAGGTATAATAGTTTCTCAGTTTATGATGGGGTCCCATTCCTATAAAACTGGCATACACTGAATATACAGCAGAAAATATATCTAATACAGCCAACTTACCAAATATCACAGCTCATCAACACAGTGCACTGTAGAGTATCTGATGTTTATCCCTCATAATCCCATGGCTGACTGGGGTTAACACTTGTTGCCATTGCTCAGTATCACAAGAGTGTGTCCCCACTGCAGATAATCAGTCTGGGGGGGGAATTAAAATGCAAACTACAGTTTCTAATGAATGACAATCACTTTTGTACCATCATAAAATCAAAATATTGCAGATTGAGCAATCTCAAGTTGGGAAGCACCTGCACAGTGTTTCAGAGCAGGGCTCAGAGGTCATGCAAAATAAAATCTTGATGAATAAATGGATGAATTAAATGTCTTTGACTTAACAGGGCTCCTGATCTAACTAGGAAACCAGGATGTTACATTTACATTTTAAAAATAATTAATAACAGGGTTGGTGCCGTGACTCACTAGGTTAATCCTCCACCTGTGGCGCCGGCATCCTATATGGGCGCCAGGTTCTAGTCCTGGTTGCTCCTCTTCCAGTCCAGCTCTCCGCTGTGGCCCGGGACGGCAGTGGAGGATGGCCCAAGTGCTTGGTCTCTTGCACCCACATGGGAGACCAGGAAGAAGCACCTGGCTCCTGGCTTTGGACTGGCATTGCGCCAGCCATAGCAGCCATTTTGGGGGTGAACCAACAGAAGGAAGCCTTTCTGTCTCTCTCTCTTGCTGTCTATAACTCTGCCTGTCAAAAAAAATAATAACACAAGTCTATACTACTAAATGCCAAAGAGCAACAAACATTACAGAAGTACTAAGTGAGACTTTGTGAGACTCTTGGGGGATGCTTCTTCAAGAAGGTGGAGGAAAACCTTGAATAGATGAGTAGGAAAAAAGCAGAAGAGGTGGTCATATATTGGTAGCCATTATTTGAAGAATATGTGGGATAATATCCTTTGTAGCTGCTGGATAGTATTTCAAAGCATGGATGTGTCACAATTTATTTAAGTATGATGGACATTTAGGTTTGTACCAGCTAGGGTTAAGTTTGTATCTATGACACAGAAAACCCAAATATGAGTGCTGTAAACACATAGCTCTCTCATATGAAATAAGCCCAGAAGTAAACAATTCAGGATTAATATCTGGACTCCATGGTCTTCAAAGACCAAGCCCTGTGTTTCAGCTCCACCCAATATGTGGTTCCTGCTTCCTAGGTTGCTTCAACATATTTTGTTACAGGCAATTGGGAAGAAAGATGAAGAAAAGCTTATCTCCCAGATAAGACAACTCCCTTTATACATTCTTCTAGAAATTACATATAATACTTCCCAATTTTATCTCAGCATCCAAAATTTATATGGCCATGCCTAGCTGTAAAAGGGGGGGGGGGGGGTGCATCACTGTCCCAAATAAAGATTTTATAAGTAAAAGATAATGGATAATGAGTATCAACCAGCAGTAACAGCAAAACTGCCATCTTGCCCTGTTAATTATGAGCATCAATACACATCATCTCCTACTGTAGTGAAAAAATATTTTATACTCTGACTCTGAAATAAATAAGAAAAAATTTTCCATTTAGGTCTGATTCCTAAACTAGAAGAAACCTTGATATTTACCCCTAACAAAAAAACTTCATCACTCAATTTTGTAGTAGCTTTAGAATAATCCTGTCTGATCTTCCACCATGAAGAAACTATCATCTAGTAACTGTGTGGGATTTTTCTTTCATTACCTGTTGTGTTGTGTTTTGTTTTTTTGTTTGTTTGTTTGTTTTTGTTTTTAACAGGCAGAGTGGATAGTGAGAGAGAGAGAGACAGAGAGAAAGATCTTCCTTTTGCCGTTGGTTCACCCTCCAATGGCCGCCACGGCTGGTGCGCTGCAGCCGGCGCACCGTGCTGATCCAAAGGCAGGAGCCAGGTGCTTCTCCTGGTCTCCCATGCGGTGCAGGGCCCAAGCACTTGGGCCATCCTCCACTGCACTCCCTGGCCACAGCAGAGAGCTGGCCTGGAAGAGGGGCAACCGGGAAAGAATCCGGCGCCCCGACCAGGACTAGAACCCAGTGTGCCGGCGCTGCTAGGTGGAGGATTAGCCTATTGAGCCGTGGCGCTGGCCTGTTGTGTTTTTAACCAGCAAGCCACTCCTTTTGCATACAGATTCCCTTACAGAACTCTGCAAGTCAACTATTCTTTTCTTAATGCTTCTGTGCCTCTATGTCTTCCTTTCAGAGCATTCTCAACCACAAGATGATTTCTAATTTCTCCCTATTATAAATTACACTGCAGTAAACAATTTAAAAATGCCTCCATGTGCACATGTGACAATTTCTCAAATACAGATACCTAAAAAAGGATTCGCTGGGACTAATGACAATGCATATTTTTAATATATTCTGCCAAGTTGCTCTACAAAGAATGGTGCCAAGTTATACTGCCACAATCATTCTGAGAGCGCCTGACTTCCTACACTTCACCAACATATAAGACTATCATTCTTTTATTTTTTTTTCAAATCTGAAAGACAAAAAGTGCCTCATTGTTTCAATTCCATTTCCTTAATTACTATCTAGGTTGGACATAATAATGGATATATATTAGCAATTTGTAGCTATTATTCCTCACAATGCTGTCATTACATTCTGCCCATTCTCATTGTGTTCTTACTGATTTACAGGAGTTCCTTATATATTTCTGGATATTAGTCTATTTCACACATTATTACTATATTCTTCCAATCTATCATTCACTTTTTATTTTATGATATTATTTGATAAGGTACTAAATGTTGATGTCAATTTTAATGGTTATTTCTTTTATGACTTCTGGGGCTTTGTCCTGCTTAAAAAGACCTTCCTGCGATGAATGTTAGGCCTAGCTGCCAGTTGGGATGTCCACATCAGCCTGCCTGGATTCAATACTCGGCTCTGGCTACCGACTCCAGTTTCCTGTTAATGCACACCCTGGCAGGCAGCACTGACGGCTCAAGTAATTGGGTTCCTGCCACATGAGGGAAACTTTGCATAAGATCCTGACCCCCAGCTGCAGGCCTGGCACAGCCTTGGCAGTTGCAGCAATTTGGGGAGTGAACCAGCAGCTGGGAGCTCTGTCGCACAGGCTCTATCTATCTCACGTGTGCTTGTTTTTGTTCCCTCTCGATAAAAGAACAATCCTATGCAAAGATTACATACTGTTTTTTAATATTAAGAGATATGCTTGTTACATTTAGACTATATGGAATATATTTTTATATACAATATGAGGTAGGACTCTAATTATTTTGCTGAAAGGATAACCAATTGTTCAAATGTTATATATTGCATAATATATATCCATAATTTGCTAAAAGGATAGCCAATTGTCCCAGTGTTATATATTCAATAATCTATGCTGTCCTCTACTTTAAAATGTTATCTATAAGATGCTACATTAACACACAAAGTTTGTGTACTTTATTTTTCTATTCTACAAATCCATTTGTCTATTTATACAATATTAATGACCAAAGATCTTTTGTAAGCTTTTCTACCTGATAAATCAGGTTCTTCTCTATTGCTCCCCCACAAAGAGTTGGGAATTCTCATATATATTTTTCTTCCAGATGAAGTTTATCATCAACTTACTAAATTTCACATGAAAATCCTATTGGGATTGCCTCAAATTTAGAGATCAGAGATTACTTGTTCCTTTTAAGAACACTTGCACATTTTCAAAATTAACATGTAGTCATCAAACTACAGGATCAAAGGATTTCAGAAAGTCGTTGCTATTCAGAAAATTATAACTGAATTAGAGGAAAAATACAAACCAGTGCATTAAATGACTAATTTACAGGACTAAATTTGTAGCTGGCTAGTGCATATGCACCTTTAGGTTTCTTTCTCTTTGTCTGTTTCTCTCCCTCATACCCCCACCTCTAGCCTCTCATTTTTTGCTTTTTAAACAACTGGCAATGTGTTCAGTACTTGCAGACATAATCAATTTCTTTTTCAACCACCCTAAGCAGCTCTATTATCAACCCCTTTTATAAAGAAACTGAACCTCAAAGAAACAACTCCCAAGATCACAGGGCAAGCAGGTGAAAGGCAGCTGGGTTCCTGAAGCCAGGTTTCCCAACTTTGGCCATCAGTGTCTTATCTTCCTCCTGCCCCCTTTCAAATAAATTCCTACTGCTTTTTCAAATGCAAAAACCACCTCTGAAGAATAAGGAATAAATGAGTAACAGCCTGCTTTGTTTTCTGTCTCATCCTCTCTAAAGACTTCTAGCGAAAATTAAAGCTGGTGTGGGGAGTAAGACACTACCGTGAGGGTTAGACCCGAGTCTCTTTCCTTTTGCTTATGCCAAGACCATAGCCCAACACATTAACTTACTGGGTCTGTTGCAAAATGAACAGGTGGGGCCTCTTGTTTTAAATTATTAAGTATTTCAAGAAAGAACTGCAGGGCACTAACAGCATCGCTCAGGCCCAAAGCACAGATCCTATGCCTGCAAAGCATAAGCGTTTCTCTCTTCTCTCTCTCTTTTTTTTTTTTTTTTAACTTATTTATTTAAAAGAGTTACGAGGCCAGAAGCCAGGAGCTTCTTCTAGGTCTCCCAAGCTGGTGCAGGGCCCCAAGGACTTGGCTATCTTCTGTTTTCCCAGGCCATAGCAGAGAGCTGGATAGTTATAGGAGCAGGCGGGACTAGAACCGACGGCCATATGGGATGTCAGGGTGTTAACCCACTGTGCCACAGCGCCCCCTTATCTCTTCTCTAACTTCAGTCTCCCGCTTTGCAGATTCACAGCCCTGTTCTGATGAAGAAGGCTGCTCGGAAGTTTTCCTCCCCACTGACAGCGACTACGACTCCAGTGATGCCCTGAGCCCCCGGGACCTGGACCTGGTCTACCTGTCCTCACACGACATCGCCCAACAGGCCTTCAGTGGCCTAAGCGGCAGTGCTCCCGACGTCCTACAGGTGCATGACATGAAGACGCCGGCGAGGCTGGGCGATGACACCCAGGGCCAGGTCTGCGGCCCAGATCCTGACCATGCATGCACCGAAGTCCTCCACAGTCTAAGCCTCACTGGCTTCACACCCAAGAATCACACCAAGATGGCGCCGAGTGCGCGGCCACCGCTAGGCTTTCTGGGAAAGCGGAAGCCGGGCAAGCACCAGCACTACAGTGGCTTCAGCCGCCACCACCGCTGGCTGCGCATGCACAGTGAGACGCAGTCGCTGTCGCTCTCCGAGGGCGTGTACACACAGCACCTGTCGCGAGCCTGCGGGGAGGCCGAGCAGCCCGGACCTGCCCTCGATGGGCCCCGAGGCCTGGCTCTGGCCCACGCAGCTAGCTTCCCTGAGGAAAGGAAGAGCAGCCTCCTGGACGCAAGGCCTTCCATCCGCGGCATCTACGTGGAGTCCTACCCCACAGCCCTGGCTGGTCAGGACGCAAAGCCGTGGGCCGGCTTGAGCCCGCCCCCTGGAGGCCGCGGCGGCTTGCCCAGCCCCACAGGCCGGGAGATGGGCAGGGAGAGCCCCACCAGCACCCCAGTGTCGGAAATCCTCAGCAGCATGCTGTAGGGAGGCCCACGCTGGCTGGTCTCTGCCCACGCACACTAGTCTCTGCGTTATCCACCTCCCTTCCCCTAGGCTGCCCCAGCTTGTCCCCGCCGTTTTAAAACATTTTAAATGTTACAAATCCAAAGGTTACCGGTTCTAAAGGCCCTCTTTTGAAGAGTACAGTGCAGTGTGGAAGCCAGGGTTACCAGTGCTGATCCCTGTTCAGCCTAGAATGGGCAAAGAGGCGCTTTTGTGTCAACGTGGAATCCGAGATGCAGTGATCCACGTGTTATCCTGTTGGTGGCACCTGCAACTGAGGTAGACCAGCCCAGACAGACAACTTCAGGTCTGCGTCTTGCTCTGTGATCCAACCGCTGAGTGTAGGACTCTGATGACTTCGTGACTGGTGAGAAGGAGTTCTAGAGATGAAAGTAAGATGAGTTTTTCCCTCCACTGCAAATATTTAGAGAATTTGCAGGGAAAGAAGCCCAGGGGGTGTCTCTAGAGTATAGGGTTATGTGGACTTGTTCTAGATTCTCTGTCAGTTCTGCCCAGGTCTTTCCAAAGGCAGCGTTCTCGGGACTCACCAAATCCCACTTACCTGATGAAGCAGGCCTTGGACAGCGATTCCCTTTGCTTAGTGCTGTGCGGGGCACACCAGACAGAAAAGTATGGGACCCTTCTTGCTCCATCTTATAAAGGCAGGGCAGAGCAAGAAGCAGCCCTGCCCTCACACTTGGCTCCAAGACATGAAAATAGCTGTAAATTGTTCGTGGTGCAAGAAATTGGTTAAGTGAGAGCTTGAATTACAAGACAAAAGGAAGGAGAAAGACATGAGCAACACTGTATTTCCTCTACAACCCCACTATAAGCAGAATAAGTCCGGGGGGATATGCCTTGGAAAATTATGGTGATCTGCTTGATTCTTAAGAAACCTTTAAACAAGAAAATGCCCTGCAGACCTGGCTAGGCATGGATGGACTCCTTACAGCCCCACAGGCACAGCCACTCATCCCAAGGGACAGATTGTCCAGGGCTGGGGTGACCACCTGCCCCCTTCAATGTGTCTCTCTCATAATCAATATGGCCCTGAGATAATTGGCTGATAGGCCCTGGGGAAAATCGTCCTTGGACATCCCTGCCAGTGATTTCTGACAAAGGTGTGTTCAAAAACACCTGGAAATCCTGCTTTGGTCTCACTGCCTCTTACCTGAATTTCCCTCACAGGAGAAGCCCTGGTGAAAGAGAAATCACACTGCGTATTTTAGAAAAAGCATAAGGCTTCTCATCTCCTGGAGGCAAGACTGTGCAGCTCACTGACATGCTAAATGGTCCTTCTCCACGTCACAGGCATGTTGGCTAAATGCTGTGTTTTATGATACTATCCCCGTCCTCCAAGTCCCACCATTCTCTCATGGGAGTACGTACAAATTCCCCTGTTCACAGTGTTATTCTGATCCCTTCCATTTTTTTAAAACATTTGATTTAAACATAAATAATTACCCTGCTGGCAAGGTACAGATTTGGCCCATGGCCTATGGTCATTAGAAAACTAAAGCCCTGAGCTCAGCCTTTATTTTTTTTAAGAGATTTTATACTCAGTGAACCCCCTAAAGCATCTTGATCAGAATCACTACAGCTCCTTTTCCATGCCTGAGAGGATTTTAAGATGTAGTTTTCTTCTAAGTGAGTTCTATGTGTGGAAGGAGTGAGTGATAGAGCTAGAAGGGGTCATAAAATCCATCTCAGTCGTTGGGTTTACAGATGGGACAATAAAAGCCCAGAGAGGTTAAGTGATTTGCTTGGGATCACAGAGCTGATTTAGTCTCAGAGTTAGAACCCAGAACCATTCCATTTGTAGCAGCCTTCCCCATTGGGTATTGGTAAAAGCCCAGTCAAGTCTTGATTTTTTTTTAATGGGCAACTTCATCAACCTTCTGTGAGGAAAAGATGCACACCCATAAAAGGAATAATGTACAGATTTCAATGGGCATACTTAACCCACTGAAAAATGCATTTCCTACTATTAGTCTTCTGTAAAAACTGGATATGATGCATCCTCAGTGATTGGCCATTGAGGATCAGATAGGTTCCTCCCCTGCCTTCACTTTGAGAGCCCAGTTGAAATTAGCACATTCTTGTGAGAGGCCATTGAGTTCTCCAGTTCATTGTCGTTTTTTGTTCTGATTCATGATAGACACCTAACAATGTCTGAGGATTTTTTTTTAAATTTGTTTTATATTTGGTTGCTTGGCTTTTGTGTGTTTGCTTGAGATGATGGACTCAGCCTTTTATTATTTTAAAGTCCAATCTGAGAGCCTCTGGAGGAAACTTTCTGGGCCAGGTCTTCTTTTCCAGGGCTTTCTAACATGCTTCACTCTCACCTGTATTTTCTAGCTCTCCTCATTTGTGAAAATCCTCAAAACTCATCAAATGGGGCCCTCCATTTGTCTGTCTCTATTCTAAGTTCCCAAGGGACCAAAGAATCAATGGGAAAACATTCCTAGGCCACAAGGAACTCACACTATGATCTAAGAATATAGCCATACATTCACCATATGTCGCCTCATCAATAACTTAGAAAAGGACAGGAGCCTGTCTTCCCAGCCAAGAAGACATAGTGTATGTTGGGCAAGGCCACCTTGATCACTCATACCATCTTCTCATGATGGAGAACAGCCTGGAAAATGCAGGGTATGGATGTTCATATAGGCTGGGCATCTATGTCCAAGGCGCTTACATCCTCTTAATTGGTGATGATACCTAGGAGATAGTAATTAAAAACATTCACTCCAGGGAATGAGTGTTTTGAGATTTGGATACTTAAAGATGAGGTCCATTCCATTTTAAGAACATTCACTAATGCTTGAAGCAATAATTACAGTGGAGAAAATGGTTCCATTTGGTTTGAAAATTGAAGCCAGTTAGTAATAATATTCCACCAGTCCCCTTTCCTGAAGGATCCCAAAGCACTTTATGAAAAGCAATGACTGAAGCCTTGTTGTACTCCCCTAAAGAGACCTTGTCCCAGAGCCACCTGGCAAACCCCTACCCCATCCTTGCCAGGAGATCGTGCCAGACAAGTGGAAAAGAGGACTGGCCCCTCATTCATTGTTATCCTCCCACACAAACGTGCACCCTAGTGAGTCCTGAGGTCCTTGCTTGAGGATAACTGTGAGACAAGGGGGCACACCAAAAAATCCCAACTCCTTGGCCTGATTTTGTTCTTCACTCTCTCCTAGAGAACTATCTACTCAAGCAGTTAAGGGGTCTGCAGTGCATTTAAGTTCCCTAGTCACATGAACAGCACACAGAATTCACTGGCTTCTGAAAACATGCACATGTCAAGAAGACGATGCCATTATTGTACAGCTCTCTTAACTTCGCAGGTAGCAGAGCTACCGTGGAGAGTGTGCATCTCTTGGTATATTTGTTTATTAAATGATAACATAGTTATTAGAGAGGGTGGTTGCAGATTAACGAGAGCAGTCTCAGAGAATTCAGAGTGCTATGTTGTCATTTTACAAAGTCTAAATATTTTTCCAGATGATAAAGTGAAGCGAATCTAGGATGCTTTTCTTCAAGGTCATATCTTTAAGGAAATTTTTAACAACTTATTTGAAGAGCAATGGCATCTCTGCATAGGTGAACAAGGAAAAAGCTCGTTTCTTTGCTGGTCACTTCTCATAAGATGTTCAAACACATGGCTTATGACTGTTAAGCTAAACTTCAATGCGGCCTTACAAACAACAAGGGTAGTGTATTTAAAACTATGTTGTACAGCTTGGAAACTTATTCTAAGATCTTAATTCAGAGTTTTTCTGAGGTGTTGAACTTTGCCATTAGCAAAAAGTATTTTTAGAAAAAAATCCATTGACTGTTTATGAAACACTGATTTTGCCATATTTTGAGTCTCTGGTTTTTCCACCACATCTGCACACAGTAGTTATAGTCGTGGTTTTTTTTTTTTTTAAATCATTCCTTTTATTTCCATTAAGAATGAATTTGTAAAACGGATATTCAAAAAGACAGTTGGTTTCGACAACCTGGTAAGTGGATTGTGAAAAATTTCTATTTTAATAAAGGAAGTAGGAGGATTGTTGTGGTTGTTGTTGTTTTAAATATTACCTGAGAGTCTTTCCACTCCAGACACATACTTTCTTTTAATTTTAGCAAAAGCCAATATTTAACTCAGCATCAAGTGTTATGAAATTATTAGTTAATGTGCTTTTTCTCCTCTTCTGTCAGTCCATGATGAGAAAGACTGAATATACTTTCACAGTGACCACCATCCAGTTACTGACTTACAAAAGCCAGGTCTGGCAAATTGTTGTAAGCGACTCTGAATTACCAGATTCTCTTGCCTTGTGACACACCAGATGTTTGGGGATATCCTGTGTATGTGGTCCCAAGCATCAGTTTGATCTTTGTGATGGAAAAAGAGAGCAGAGTGTGTACGTGTGTGTATGTATATGTGTGTGTGTGTGTGTGTGTGTGTGTGTGGTGGGGGAGGGACGTTCCACAGAAAAAGTCATTTAAGAGGCATTCTATTAGGCAGTGTTTAATTGCTTCCTGCCTAATGTGTACATAGTAATCTGTCTGATTATTGGTTGTTATTTGTTCAGAATTTATTGTATCTTGTTGCTATGTATGCAACTGAGTGTATGTTAAAGTTTAGACTTCAGTATGTTATCTGCACAATTTTGTGTGCTTTAAACCTCTGTAAATATATAGATGAATCATGTATAGTGTGGTAAATGTGACCTCCAATCTTGAAACAATAATTTTTAGTAGTATGTACATTTGGAAACTATTTGAACATTTTAAATGGACATTGTAAATGGCCAGTACTCTCAGTCAAAAACAGCCCCGGCGAAACACATGCCTCTTCAACCTACCGATTTATAAGAAGAGGCCAAGAGGGTTAACAAGAATTCAGATAATTTTTCTAATGGCAAGTATTTTTGATAATTTCCTACCTGCCTAATTGTATTTTTAAGAAATATTGTCAACAGAAGAAATCTTAACTATCAGAGGGAATGACTTTGTTTCATAAGCATTAAAAATACTTTCTATCTCGCCTGATATTGTGGAAATCTAGGTGAAAGTTGAAGAAGTCAAAAACATTTTTGATTCTGCTTAAGATTTTTTTGCTGTTTCAAGGACAGTTTCCAAGCCTTTTGTCTTCAGTGTGAGGAGCTGTCAATTAAATAATAAACTAATAGTATTTTTCAGTACTTGGCTTGCCCAGTGCTTATGCCGTGTCTCAAAGAAGACACAAACAATTTTCAACCTGAGCTGTTAAAACTCTTCTTGAAACTTGGGAAGAGTCTTTAATGGAGGCATTGTTTTGATGATTATTAGCAAAGTCTGACCAGCTGGCTCTTGAGTAATCAATAGAGTTTGGGTTGTTTCTTTTTTGTGATTGACTATTGCCAAGTATTGAAAATAAAGCATCAGGTTGCCATGGCAAGTACACTCACCAAGTTGTACCCAGCAGCTAGGCCTTCATGATCTTACTTCTTCCCCCACTGCATGCAAGTATAAATGTCTTTAGTGTATTTCTGCATGTGCTGTCCTATCTAGAGTTCTCTGTCCCTTCTATTTCCACACCTACAGAGCTCCTCCTACCCTCACTCCCTCTGGCTGAGATTTAAGATTTTTTTTTCTGTGTTTGAAAACACAACATAGAGATTCCTTCCATCTGAAGAATCTGCACAAAGGTTCTCCTGAATTCCCAAAGATGGGAAATGCACTTCTTTGGGCCATGTATTTGTCTTATGTTGATTTCAGAATTCTTTTACACACACATACACACACACACACACACACAGGCACGCACGCACGCAAATTCACCTCTTTACCAGCATGTTTGTGGTCAGCTTTCCTGACAGCCTCAGAGGGCTGTTTTGTTGTCCTGGCTCAATATGCTGTTTTTCCTATGTCAATTGTCATCTTTCTAAGCAAACCATTACTTTCTTTTCCCAAATTTGTCTTTAAATAAAAGTTTACCTTCGCTTTCAAACCAAACAGGTGGCCTTGCTCTTTAATATCCCGTGTCCTCTTGGGAAGGTCTTAGGGGAGGGACAGAATGGGGCAGAGGGTGAGAGGAGGTCTTTCACATTCTACCTGCTAAATAGGAATAATGCCTCTATTGGATGTGTAGCTCTTTGAATAAGGAATCCAAACAATACACAGTATTTCCATCTGCCAACAAGAAATAATTTTTTATCCATAGTGAAAACAAATCATCTTAGGGAATTAGGCAACTTTAAACCAAGAGGTTCTTATCAGTTTAGAGTGACTACTAAGCAGGAGAAAAACAAACTTCCACAGAAATGCTCTTGCCCAGCATTATCATAATGCCAAGTAAGTTGATCTTTGCAACAAGTTTCTGACTGTGAAAATGCATGTCCTCCTCAGGTAGCATAGGACATTCTCACTTCTGCATAACACTCCTTGTAGAGGCCTGTCCTAGCATGCATTGAATTATTTTGCCAGAGACTGTTGTTAGATACTGACTAGAGGAAGTGGGGTACCAGGTATACATTAGAATAGGTCAGATGCTGTATGTCAAAAGCAACTGCCTATTCTGTTGGTCATCATCACCCCAGCCTATTTCACAGCTCTAGGCATAAATACTTGTTAAATGAGTGATATGCTGATGGCCACCAGACGTGGTAGATAGGTCACTTAGAATTGATCAATTTCTCCATAAAGAATGGACTTGAAAGTTCTTCTGGCTTGCCTGCCAGCCTGGCGCTCCCTCAGATGCCTCAGGTGAAGCTCAGTTTGTCTCCTTGGGATATTTTGAAAGTGTTTCTTCAGCACTTGCAAAAAGTTCCAGCACCCACCACACACACTAGCTCCAGAATTCCTTGGGATCTATCCCAAGAAGGAATCAAGGGGCCTGGGGAAGAAACGTGCCCTTTCTTATGGTGCAGGTGCATGTCCACACATCCAGCAGTTGTCTGAGTGTTACAACATCTCACCCAGCAATTGGGAACCTCGGGGATTGACATGAGCATTGCCCATCCCAGCTGCACCCTCTGAGTATGCAGAAAATCTGCAAAGGTCTTGCCTCAGTGTCCAGTTAGGTCACTTCTGCACATACTATTTTCCTCATCAAGCTGTGATAACTGCAATCTCCTAAGTGACTGTAAAACACTTTCACAAGCACAATCCTATTTGAGCTTGACAAACAGCCCTGTGAGGTGATCAGGACCAGAACTTTTATCTCTGTTTTACAAATAAAGAGGGTGGGGCTCAGCAAACTGAAAACGAGGGTCCAAGACTGCTGACTTTCCAGCATGCCATGTGTCGTTGAGAAAAGATGCTCTCTCTCTCTGAAACAGAGCCTTCAAAGACAGAAATGCAGGGGACACTCACAGCCTCACGGACAATGGTCACAAAGGAAGCCACGCAGACAGCGAAGCACTCAGACCCTTTTTCACTAGGCCTGGACTATAGCTTAGGCTTAGGTATTCTGACTGCAAACAAGACACTTCTCTTCAAACCTACACATGAGGACATCCACAGAATGTGTAAGCTCTTTTCCGGCTTTTACACTTCATGAATTTAAAATATGCATGTTGAATGCCTATCGGGGATACATAGGGAATTCTCAAAACACTTCTACTCAGTTGATAACGTTTGGTGCTGTGTGGTTCTTTGTGGGGCATATAGGTTGTAGAAGACAAGAAAGAGGTGATACTGAGTCTATTGTAGAGAAAAACAGGGAGAAATCTGTGTTCAGCATCACTTCCCACTAGTCCCCTGCCCCTCCCAAAAGAATACTTCATGGTGGAAAGATTAAAATCTGTCTTTGGCCTCACCTGATCCCAGCCTTTCTCAGAAAACAATTTCACCTATTCAGTCCCCCGATCCTTGGCTGTTCGGGCCACTGTGGAATCAGAGTGGATGTGGTTTGGAATATCCCTTGGACCTTCCCCATCATCCAACTTGGCACCAGCACCACCCACCAGCTGTTCTCTTAGATCTTGCCTCTAAGATCGCTTCCCTGGAGTGTCCTGGAAAGGGTCAAGGCATTGCACAACTCCAGGGGGCACTATTATTAAGTGTGGAATGTGCTCCATTAGCCATTCCCCAGAACCCAGGCATGAAGCAGGCAGGCCTCTTGCCAGGCAGCAAGCTGCAATGGCATCTCCTTTGGGGTGGAAGGGAAGATGAGAGACTGGCATGGAATACGCAGGGAGGGCCCCTCTTTATGTGGATGGTTATCTGCCCACAGTGGAGCTTGCTTTGAGCACAACATTTAGGCATACATCTGACTCTTCCAAGCTTGGGCCAACTTGAACTCCAGCGTGGACCTTGCTTGGGCCATTTGGCTTGACTGGAACCCAGTGCCAGGCATTGTTCTCCCTCAGCCCTCAGCAGCCTGTGAAGTCAGGACAGCATCATTCTCTGACAAGCATGCAGTACATTTCCTCGGGTCCCAGGAGGCCTGATACGCGCAACTGTTTTCCTCCCCCATAGTTATATTTTCCTTGGTTGAAAAAGTTTTGTTTTGGAAGTTGCTACCCTGTCGAGGTAATGAGTCAGTTTGGGAGGTCGGTGCAAAAGGGAAAATGCACATCATTGGCAGAGGCCAGAGGATGGGGGTGAGAGGAGATGGGAGATTCCGGGTGGAAAAGAGAGGTCCACACCCTCTGCACCCTCTTGCCCTTTCAGGAAGTACACAGCCCCTCCTTACCCACTGAGGGCTTCTTCACTGGGGCCAGCAGCCAGGACCAACTGCTGTCTTCAGGCTTGTTCCGGGGAGTGGATAGGTAGGCAGGAGTGGAGCTAACATTCACGGGTCACCTCTTGAGTGCCATTTGATCTTCGTTTTCTATGCTTTCTGAAAGTCAGTAGCATTGTTAGCCACAGTTTACATATTGGGAAACCAAGGCTTCAGGAAAAGGAATTTGCATGCCCAATGCCACACAGCAGCAAGTGGCAGAGTTTAGAGTGGAATTCTAGTCCAATGTCCAAGTCCAATGCCCATTCTACCACGTGCGCTCTCTACAAGATTCATTCCTGCCCAGAGAAACTGAGCCAAAAGCCATGGGGAGGACTGAGAAGGCTCAGTTGGAGGGACAATTGAAATGGTCTGACTCTGGGCACAGGAAGTACTGCTCGTAGAGAGAGAAGAGGAGGTCTAGGGATTTAGACCTCCCCTATCTTAACCTTCTCCCATCTGCTCCTCAATTCTTCCACCTCATACATGTTTGTCACATGGAGAGAAAAGTCACAGCAATACAAAACACACACAAACACACACAGATCTATCCCCCCCACACACTCACAACACAAACACATACGTCCACACAGGCACAGAGGCACACACATCTGGAGGTAAATATCAGGATTCAAGGGTTGGCCTCAAGCCAGCTCTGAGCCCAGAGTGGCCCACTGAGGAGCCCTGGTCTGCCTCACTTTGGGAGGTCAAATCCATGAAAGAGCCCTGGTCGTTTAAAACAGAGAAAGGGAGAAAGAAAGAACACCAGCACCTCTCATGATGGGAGGTCAGAGCGAATGAAACCAGGAGCAGGGGTGTGGGGGTAGGGTGAGAGCGTGGGGGTGGGGAGCCTGGTGCTGGCAGCTGAATTCCTACCCTGGCCCGGCTCCAAAAGATTAAAATAGAGCTCTTAGAGTGTCCCCTCCACAGACCAGCCTGCCAGGGGCCAGACAATACGTGGGTTTGTGCTCCAGCACAGGCCTCCAGAGAGGTGATGTTTTTACCCGGACAGCTAAAGGCACAGAGGCAGGTCTAAGCAGTTCCAAGGCTCCTTTGGCCCACAGAACAGGCCACAGCACAGGGAGAGCTGCGGCTGCTTGGTCGCATACAGATCTGTTCTTTTCTCTCCTCACCCCAGGGCAGGCTCCTGGACTCAACTTCTTCATTTTGTCTACCCCAAAACATCCAACTCGCAGGACTGGGTGGGACGAAGTCTTAGCAGATTCATTATACTTTAATTGGGGAGGGGAAAAAAAGGCTCAACATGCTGTAAACAGGCAGCTCGCGAGGAGGGACAGACAGGGCGTCCCTCGGGATCATCTCAAATACTCCGACGAGTACAAACACCTCATTTTCTCAACCCAAAGAACACAGCTTCCCCAGAAGGAAGCTCCACTGTCCCCTTGAGGTTACATTTGCTTCCTTGGAATTCTTGAGGATTTTCAGCAGCGTCTCCAGTCCAACATCTCAGACCACTTGCTAACACAGAGGGATGAAGGCTAGGACACATTGGCTCAGTACACAGGCTCTGGGGTTTGCCAGATGAAGGTTCTACTCTTGACTCTGCCACTTCAGAGCCTTTTGGACATGGGCAAGTTACTCAACCTTTCTAGGACTTGGTTTCTTTGTATGTAACAGCACCTACTTATGGTTTTAAGTATTAAATGAGAAAAATATATTGAAAGTGAGCAAACCAGGTTGTTGCTTCTCATCCACTGATGGTCCGGGAAGTAGCTAAAGGGTGATGGGAATTCTGGAAAACATTGTGCAGGGCCAATTGAGGCTATAGTTCCTCCTTGCAGTAGATTTAACCAGGGTGGCCGGCTCTGGGCTCTGAGGAGTCTAAGACATCCAGCAGCACCATGCAGGTGAGCTGTGTTTGCCAGCCCTGCAGCCAGTCTCTCAAACTGGAAGGGAGCTCCAAGATCCTGGACCACGTCACCCTCCAGGAGCTTACCTAAGACGAAGAGGCTAACTCAGGAGAGGAACCACTTATTGAAACTCTCCAGGTTGGTGTCTCTGGGAGATTCATCCCATCATCCAGGACGATGGCTACAGAAAGTGCTAACAGCTTCGCTCCAATTAGGGAAGCATCTGATGGTGGTACCATAGAGAATCTGAGCCAAAGACTGGAGGTCATTGGGGACCTTTCTGACATCAAGTCAGGCCAGACAGATGTGTATCACCCACTGTGTGAGGAATGCACAGATACTTTTTTAGACCAACTGGACACTCAGCTCAATGTCACCAAACATAAATGTCAGAACCACAAATGCTGTTTGGCGATCTTAGAGCAAATGAATGAACAGCTTCAGAAGGAGCTAAGGGAGTGGGCGTTAGAGGAAAGGCTGATCCAGGAGCTGGAAAATGTGGAAAAGAGAGTGATCAAACTAAGGTCTGGCACACACCCAGC